CTTCAGAAAGTATCCATACGAATATTTCATAGTATGTGTAAACTACTTTTTAATTATTATTCATCTGCAATTATTTATGTCTTTCCCACCGTTACCAATAGTTCAAAATATATTCTAACTTGAACTTAAGATCCTTATTAGTATGCGTAAGAGACGTTCACCGTGGGCTCAAGGCTTGAAGAACAGTGTGTCATGCCCAATAAAACTCAGTTTAACCCAGATAATACCTTTAACAGCACCCTACGGTTTTTTTTATAAATAAAAAAAAAATTAAATATATGATGAGTTATTTATTTCCAATGAAAATTTTATTGAGAATCCCGAGGATTGAAGAAGTTTTCCAACCGTCACCTCTTGCAGAAGGAAGTGACAATCAAAAGGGTGAAAGCTGGAGGAAGCGATATCACATTTTCTCACGTTATCTTCAGCCAATACTACAGCTTCCCATAAAATTATTTTTTTTTCTCTCCTTTTGTTAACCAACCCCACTCGACACCTTTTTTAAGGTCCGTTATTTAAACAAAAAGTTCAGGCAAAGGTTTTTTTTTTAGAAGGCATATCAAAATAAAATGTGAGAAAGTATTCATGTTGCTTTAAACACTAAGTAAGACTGGAGGAGTTTACGATATAATCTTAGCCAAAGATTAAATAATAGAAACCATTCCACATCTTCTAATTATATTAACACTACTAATGTTTTTTTTTCCCAGATAGTTCCTTTACGCATTACTAGTATATTTTATATATTTCCTTGTTTTTAAAAATCTTTGTAATTTATTTTAAACTTCCTAATTTTGCAATGATTACCTTTGTACATACACATTCGATTGCGTGCAACCATAATTATTTCATGTATTACAAATCGTTAGTATTTCATGCAGCAATAGCTGCTAGTTAGAAAAAATTACTTCAATTAAATATATATAAGCGAACTTGTCCTTACTGGAACAATTAGCTGAATCTAGGGAGAATGTTGGTAACGGATTGCTGTCGTTCAATATATATATATATATATATATATATATATATATATATATATATATATATATATATATATATCAATTACAGCGGTTGTAAAAGATAAATTCTTGTACATATTAAAAATAAATTAAATTTATTAATGATCTTAATAGATAATCAACAGCCAACATAGATTATTAGAAACGTTAGCTACTTTTTTTTTAAACTTTTCGTTAGCTTAAATTACTGTTTCTTAAACTGGAATAGCCTTTGCCGGGTGCCCGCGAAAAAGATGTGGCATTAACTTAATATCCTCCAAACTGTCGCTTTTGTTCAAATAATTCGTTTGATAAAAGTCTTTTTGCATCTGTTTTCACTTAACTATTCATTAACATAATAATGAGAAATGCATCGTGTTGGGAACTCTGTGATATGGGAATAAGAAACATGGGAATGAAGTATTGAGGTGGAAAGTGGTGAAGATGAGAGAAATAAAACCAGAATAGATGCATTATGAATCAAAAGTATAATTTTGATATTGAATACTTAATAGTTGACATTTGTGTATTTTAGAGGAAGGAGATGGTTCGGGGTGGCGGTCATGATGAGAATAAAATAGTGGAAAAAACTGTTTTATTTCAAGCCAACGTTTCGAACCTTTGCAGGTCTTCTTCAGGGCTAGAACGAACAAGATACAAAAGAATATAGAAAATTGTGGAAGTTACATAATATTTAGATAAAAATTATAAACAGTGTGAATAAACTTACTGAAATTACACACAGTAATTATATGAAGTGCAATAATCAGAACAATAAACTATATAGACAGAGTAAAATAAGTAACAAGATCCTAAACCGAAGTAAATAAATGGTAACAATTGTTGTAGTATAAGATATACAGGTCTCAATGTGTGAAGAAAAAAAATAAAATATATAAAAATAGAGACTTACAAGTGTGTTCAGCAAGGTGTTTCAGTCAAAACTGGGGAAACGCGGGTTGGGCAAATTTCCTTGGGGAAATTTGTTGATGTGGTTGGGGAGTGCTGAGGCGGTAGTAAAAACAAAACAATACCTGGAATATTTCAGTATCTAAAATTCGAAGATATTGATGGATACAAGAAAAAGTTCGATATCTATTAACTAATAAATTATAAATGTATACATATACATATAAAATAGAATTAAGAAATTATAGATAGAAGTACAATGTGAATAAAAACAAGAATGAAAGAAGTAAAACGTACATAGGAGTGAAATGTAAATATAAAAAAAAGAGACCATACATAGCAGAACTAATTTAGAAGTATAGAGAAGAAACAAATATGAATAATTATTATTAAAATTAGTTGTATATATTGTAAGAAAATTACATTTAAATATTAGATAATATTGAGACATAATGGTTAAAAGTGCATGAATACCAAATAAAAATGGTCATGAATTGATGTAGAATGTAAATATAAAATAAAAGAGAGATCATACAAAGCGGAAATACGTAAAAATAATGAACGATTAAATTAAATTAATCAATAAAAATTGAAAATAGATGAAAAATAAATAAACAAGAATAATATAAGATGCAAAGAAGAAATTATTTTTCACATATAAGATTTAATGCAGTTTTTATCTACTTTAGGATTCTGTTCCATGTGGATGTGGATGGATTCGGAAATAAGTCTTTTTCATGGTTGGGGACGGTGTCAAGAATAGAGGTTTTTTCAAAATCAAATGAATGGTTGAGAGTTAAGGAATGTTCTGATAGTTTGGAGGCGGAAGGATTCCGGGGAATTATGGATGTTTTATGTTGGAAAATACGGGTTTTGAGATGGTTTTTGGCTTCACCAATTCAGGAACTATTGCAATTATGAGTAGAGCAAGGTATTCGGTAAACTACATTAGATCAGTGTTGTAAAAGTATGGGATCCTTCAAGTTGGTGAAAAGGAAAGAAAGTTTGTTATGGAAAGTTTATTCCCCTTGTTTATAATTTTTATCTAAATATTATGTAGCTTCCACAATTTTTTACATCCTTTTGACCGTTGTATCCTGAAGAAGACCTGCAAAGTCGGGTTGAAACATTGGCTTGAAACAAAATAGTCTTTCCACTATCTTAGTCTCCTTACGACCGCCTTCCTCTATAATTTTGGAAGTTTCGGCAATCTTGGGCATCTACAGACTGAGTATTACTCAGTGGCATCCTATTATTGTTTCTCATTTTTCTCTGATCTTTTCGCGTTTGTTTAATTTCAAGTTTATTGGTCGTTGGTAGTTATTATGCTTGGTCGTTAAGCATCTCGCTAAGTTCTACCTAATAAGTTTTTCGAACCATGGCCCTCAGAAAATATACCAACAAACGCCACCAAATGCTGTCGTGTGATGACCCCGTGGCTGCCGAAGAAAAACATTCACTGGATATCGTCCCACACTCAAAGAGTAAACTGGTTCATGGGCGACGGGAAAAGAATATGTTATTCGCTGAACTTGCAACTTTTTTCAGGAAAGAATCGTTTATTTGTTGTATATTAGTAGGAAGATAAACCAATGGTAGATTGGTCATCATTGATAATAAGAGTGATTTCTGATCTCGGAATAGCCGTAGGATACTTATTTCCTAAATTTGTATCCCCTTCTCCCCGAGGGAAGGGAATTAAATTCTTCACACTAATACGGTCATAAACTCAGTTGTCACTCACATGAAAAACTGAATTCTGAAATAAAAGATACAAATGGGAGTTAAATCAAACTAGCAACTATTGGTGAATATATTAAATACCAAAAAAAAATTTTTTTGTTACAATTTGTTTCTCATTGGACAGCTGTGAATGCGAAATGACTAAAATTATTGTAGATTTGAGGTAAAAAAAAATCAGAGTATTAAATTCGCTGTTTCAGACGTGATTGGTTATGCTGTATAAGGTAGTGGTACATCATGGCGAAATAACAATGGGGAAGAATCATTGCATCTTGAAAAAAGTCTGGTGCGCGCAACACACAGCTTTCACTTACCGCTCTACTTTTTAAATAGAAATTATCTTCTGGCAATTCTGGGCTATAATCAAAATTTTGAAGTGCATTTTAAACGTAGCTAAAGCTTAAAGCTTACAAATAACAAATCATTAAAACCATTAAAAGTACAAAAAGTCTATTTTTTATATCGACGGTAGGCAATAAAACTCTAGTTACTCCATCTGTTTTTTTTTATAAACCATACAACTTCAGTCTCTGAGCCTTTCTGTTGACAGAATGTCTAGCTCAAATTTTACCATTTTTAAGTAATGTCATTTTAGTGATATTTCTACTTGAAAAAGTTATCTATGGAGACAGTGAGTATGTTGATTCCTCCTGAGTCGGTGATTGCAGTATTGAAATACAGAAGTATAAATAAAAGTATAAATTTTGCCACCAGAAACATCGCTAAAATTAATAATAAAGAATGTTGAAATTGAAGTCAGTCATTCTGTCAACCGAATGGTTCATGTATGCCTAGAGAGGTTTGAAAGTATATCGGAATATTTAACCTATAAATGATTATGGATTATAGGATTATTCGTTATTAAACTGTTATTTTCCATTGTAAAGTTAACTAAATCGAAATTACGAGATTTTCATTGCTTTCCATGGATAGCTCAAAAGTTTTTACACTACTTGTAAGTGAATAATATTCATGAAATGGGAAAATTATTCACTAATTTAATTTTCTGAAAGGTTACTTTTTGGAATACGAATTTTTGGAATGAAACGGTCGATAGATACCTAATTATTCTGAAATTATTATTTATACTTTTTTCGCCACTCTAGACTGTTCACATACACACAGACACACAGACAAACAGACACAGAGCCTCACACACACACACACACACACACACACACATAGTCACACAGACCATTTTTCGGGACTTGATTACGTGAACTCAGGGATCTGAAAACGTTTATTTCCGTTGAAAACTCAGATTCAAAAATGTTCACAATCGCAATACTTAACCATTATATATATTACATATATTCGTAAGTGAAAGTAAAAAAAAAGGAACTTCCTTACGACTATTTTCTTGCATTTTCTTGAGCAGTTGCGTATCAAGGATTTAATTTTTGAAGAGGTTAACTTTTCTTTTTTTTAGTAATGGTAATTATAGGAGCAATGATGCTGTTAGAGACAAATCTCTATATTTTTCTTTGATACATGCTAACATTTTATACATTAAGTACATGCGTTAAAATAAAAACCAGAACATGTGTTTTTTTAAATATTCACCTCATAGATATGGAACATTATAAGAAAAACTGTATTTTCATCCTGAAAGCATACTCTCCTCCTCCCTCCTCCTGAGCCTGCCAGTACATTTGAGTGAAGGTAAAATATTATAGTGGAAGATGTTTTTCGTTTATAATACAAATATCCTTCCACGTCAAATTTATTTTAAAGATATACGCCTTAATATATCGAAGGTTATTTGTCAAAAAGCTCCTTCATAACGTCCAAACCTTGGTACTGCGCAGGGACCGGTATTGTGGCCCATTTATACACCTTGGCGGAGGTTCAAGTACATAGGGGTTCGCAGCCTAAGACCACCTTTCACTACTATCGGCTCTGAGGGTTCCTTTAAGGAAATTCAATAAGAAAACATATAACTACGTATGTGTTGCTTAAGTTGGAAAATCACAGATAGTTAAAAAAAAATGCATTTAAACAAATTAAAAGTGCGTTTAAGTTAAATTATTCGAATAAAATTATAAAATCTAATGAACTGCAAGAGTAAGGAAGTAAAAGTCGATTTCTCCAAAAGGACTTCATAAAACACACACACATTTTCAACCCTGTATGATAATTTGGAGGGACTGTAGATATGGGCTTAAATGTTATAAGCTGCAATAAATCTTTGATGAAATTTATCTCAATTTATATGATATTGTTTTGCCTAGGAAACAACCATACATTTATTATTATTACATATTATTTATTAGATATATTATGACGTTTGATTGAAGCATTTATTAGGTCCCTAAAATGTATATCTACAATGATGGGGTCTATTAATTTATAAGACAATTCTTAAACTTTTCTTGAAGACATAATGGCCGAGCATGTTAAAACGTTGGCTGCTTTAATATTCTGGAGTCTAGCGCCGCGGGTTCGAATACTTATAATAATCTCATAACTATCTCTTCGAATAATAATCTATACCATCCCACTTTGGTTAGAATGGCCATAGCAGAACCTCTAGAACAAAACCCTTTATTTCAGAAATGATGACGTGAGGGCAAACAAAACTAGAAAAAATTTTTAGGTCTGCGGACATGGAATGTATTTTGGAATTTTCGGAACATAACGCATCCAATTCTTTCAGTACATAGTACTTCAAAATATATTCAATGCTCCATTATGTGTTTCAAACAATACCCTACCACATGACCTTAATCTCTCTTTTGTTTTAGACCTTATACCATTTGAATTCTTTAACATTTATCACTACCTTACCACCTAAATCTAGCTCCATTCATCCTTTTAATCTTCTTCAAAGTTTGAAACGGAAATGCCTCCAAAATCTTTAGTAAATGTGTATGTTTTGAGAATTTCTACGTCCTAAAGCTTTATAGCAACAGAACTCTGGCTCAGCCTCCACTGGCTTTCATTGTCAGTCACTAATTGAATGATCAGTTCTGGGATCTTCAAAAATCCTGCTTTTCTATTCACAAGTGAAGAGATTTTGAGTCCCCTAGGCAAAGTGTAATATATTTCATATAGAAACTTACAATTCAATACTTCATTGTTTTTATTTCGATCAAATATTTATTACCCTTCAGTGTGGCTGATCGGTTGTTTTTATAAGCCACAAGAAATTACAATATATCTTAAAATGATCAAAAGTATTTAGAAGGAATTATGTAAAGACTGAAAACTAGGTAATTGGTACCTAGATAAATAAGTGGCCGCACATGTTCCGGGCACGTGAAGAAAGAACGTGAATCCTTAAATTAAATTAGCACCGCCATCATCTAAATGTTCTCGGTAACGAAAATAAAACAAATATCATTAAAGTCATATTCTGTTATATATAATTCTATAAATATCGTCATAAAGCAATTTACAATAGGTCCGTGAAATGTAACGTAAATATAATATCTGCGATGGAAACGTTGATATTTCTACGAAAAAATATCGACAGAAACCTGTCTGGACTCTTCTTTGGAAATAGATTGAAATTATTGAGCTCTTATGAAAGTTTTTATTTTACATTCGGCCTTGATTTTTTCATAAAGTCTTTTTTGGAATATGGCCATGGCACAGCCATAAAATGTGGTCAAATTTTATTTTTTATTTTTTATATCATATTTTTTTCATTGGATAGAATTATTTATCATGATGTAAATTTTTCTGACAAGGTTGTGAATAAGTCCCTGAGTGATTTGGAATTAGATATTATTTTAATTTCAGACCCACCATCGTAATGATAAAATTCTTAATTCTTGAAATAATCCAGCTAAAACTAGGTGCATCTTTTCATTCATCTTGAAAAACTGAATCATGACCATTTACATTTATTAGCATTCGTGATTGGACATGCATAAATATGATCGGTTTTTCCATAATCGTGTTCTAGGGATTTTAAATGGATATAAAGTGCACTTCCACCTTACGCCAAAGGCCTTCAATACAGTGTAATAGTTCTGAGGGTATTTTAAGTTCTATGACTGTGGTGGCAAGATCTATCAAAGGGTATGTTTATTATAGGGTGAGAAAATAGGAAATACATCCAGAGGAAGAGAAGTTCGGGCAGTATTTAACAACTCTTTAAAGAAATACCATTTTGCATATATAATTAAATAAATCTATATAAATAAAGTAAAGGTTTTGTCTGTACATTGAATAGAACCAACTCCTTTCATGATATTTTCCTGTTTCATACATTACATACACCAAATCCACATTTAAAAAATTTGCATCTGTCTGTATGTCCGCATTGTACAACAAAATTTTGTCAGGAGTAAGCTCAGCAATGGCTAATAGTCGACTTTTGAAATTTTTAATATATATATTTAATATATATATTTATATTTGCTTGACTTAAAACATAGGCTTTAAATGAAAACATAATATTGAGTAAATGATTCGTAACTAAAGTTATGAATTCTTAAGTAATTTGCCTAGAGATCCCGGTCAGGCAGTTACTTACTTCGATTCTTATCCCAACCTACTCTACCGCGAGCCACATTAAAAAGTTGTACGACACAACTGATGGACAAATTATAGCAACTCAATGGGGAAACGCTTGGTCGCTTAAAACACGGTTCTTTCCATTGAAGGTGTCATTCGATTCAACTTCCCGAGCATAACAAATCTTGTCGGATTCATTTTTAGGATTAACCAAATGGATTAGTCGGCAATTGGGAAAAAAAAACTCCCAAAAATTAAACCCCTCCCGCAACAATGTTCAGATCAAGTTCTAATTTTACACGGATGTAGGTGACTAAATATCACTATACACCCGTCAACGACGGGTACATCAGCTACTCTATAAATAAATCCCAATAATATTTAAATCATAGAGATTTTTAAAATTCAAATATCCAGAGTGTCAAAATATTGGGTTGGATTTTCTGGGGCTCAACAGCTCCATTCCACTCCATTTCCACTCCTGCATTATGGCAACAATTTTTATTGGTTCATTTGTTTTTTCCATTAAATATAATAACAATAAAATAAATCTATAAATCATAATCCTATGAATAAATAAAATAATAAAAAAGTGGCCACGCTCAAACCGAAATTGAAGCGCCCACTTGTGAAGGGTTACTGACTATTTGCTTCCCTGGAGCCCGATTGGGATCGTGATGAACCGAACGGCACCGATGAGGCTAAGAGAGCGTTAGATACAATGCCGATTGAATCCGGTTCTTATAAGGTCTATATTTGACCTCAATGATCGTTTCTCACATGTCCGGCACCGAGCAAATGTTGATTAATACCACACTCCGTATGGTACGAGCCTCAGTACTATAACTGAGATCTAAACCATAATACATTTAATTCCACCAGTTCTTAACTACATACCCACTACATATTCTAGATTGTATGAATTTTTGCTGTTAATTAGCCTTTATTTTGTAGATGAAAGTGAGGTTCAAAACCTCATAAAATATTATTAAAATGTTTCTAAAGAAATCATGGAATCATCTTTCAATCAACATTATATTGAAGGTTTGTAATGACGTATAAAAAAAAAAAAATCCATTCTACAGTTCTGGGTCATACGATATTACATGTTCATTCCGTTTTATTGAACTCGAATATTACAACTTTCACATAGTCGTGCTGTTCTCTCCCTATATGGAATAGTTATAATTGAATCGAATATTCGCCTTACCATCCGTCATGGTACACAGTAAAAGTATTTCACTGTGCATAAGGAATTCATAAAATTTTGGATTAAATAAAGCCATTCTAAAACATAAACTTCTGTATTACTTTACTGAGGATTTCTTACATTTACACCCTACCATATATGACAGTAGTATTTAATCGAAGATGAAATTATATAATTTTTATGGGGCTGTGATAGTAACCATCAAGGATAAAATAACTGTTGATGTTGGATTGCTGCTTTCTCTAAAAATGAAAATAGGATACTAAGTATTCTCCAGGCTTCCAGCAGGGAATAATGTTATTTGACAAGTTGAACTATCGACAATAGTTTTTTAATATCGAGAAAATATTTCGGCCAAAACCATTCTCAACACCTTTGCAGAAGGAATCTAATCAGATACTATCAGCTGAAAGTTATTGGCGTCGACGTAAGTATGCCACAGCCCTATTCTGCCATTGTTTCAAACAACAATAGCCTTCTTTCTTCTTCAAATCCTTGTCTTTTTGCATTCTTTTCTCGTATCCTCTTAATTATTTTCGTCATTTCACAATTAATTTCGTCGTTTATGTTGTTCACAAAAGCTGTACACATTTGTACTAACCCATTTCAGTCTGAGTTCGAATTTTTTCATGACAATCGTAAACTATGAATTATGACACATGATAAACTAAAGACGTTTCTGGCTACTTTAGCTACTAAATTTTCAATTAACTATAAAAGACTCATTATATAAGACTTTAATCAGGCTTATTTGGACTTATGGAGTTGAGCTTACGTGCTTCACTAAATCATCAAATTTCT